TCACATCTGCACCAACCCCATATATCCTGCCAACCTCCCATTTTCCCACCAGTGCAGTGGACGAGCTTAGAATCTTCTCACTGAACCACAGTGACAGGCGCAGATATGGACAACACATGGATTTGGGGAAAAGAAGAGGCCAGAGTTCTTTCAATCAGCAAATAGAAAAATCAGTGCCTTGTGCCTGAAGTTCATTGATATCAACATTATTTTGAAAAATATAAAGCCTGTATTACATGAATGAGAACAGGCACATTTATTAAATAACCAAAACACGCACTGCCATTTGCCACCTGTTTCTGAGCAATGCAGAGGAAGTGGTTCCCCTTGAGATGTGGACAGTTTGATAAAAGCAGCAGCAGCTCTGAACAGGAATTCCCCAAAATAGCACAGCTGACGCCGTGCAATCTTACTAAGTGGACTGAACAAGACTTGGACTCCGGCCCCAACGCAGCCCCTCCCTGCCCGGGCGACCTTGAGCAGCTCGCTGACACGTCTGGGGCTCACTTTATGGTTCAATAAAGAGCCTGCAATCTAGAGGGGGAGAGAGACAAGCACATCTAACCTAACATGGGCAACGAGGGAATAACACAACTCAGAAAAGAAAGCAGGTTCAACCTCGACATGTATTTAATGTTTTCCGCCCTTATTTGCTGACACATCCATCCTGGCTAATGGGACAGGAGAGACACCTTCTTTCCACTGAACAGTACCAGGCCTCTCACACGTAGGGGAAGATCAGATGCTTTCCTTTCTTAAGCTCCAATATGTTAAAAAACAAACTTTTTAAAAAATAAAAGAAATACAAAAATTGTGGTATATTTAAAATGTTTACACTCACCAGATTAATATTTTCATATTAATAAAAAGTCCTATGTAGCATAATTATGTTATTCTAAAGATAAATACAGCATTTATTTTGAAATATTTTATAGTCACTACAAGGAGTGTAGTCCGGTAATGAGCCACAAGTTGAAAGTTTATTAAGAATGCCTTCTTTCAGTCCTGTAGC